AAAATCATTCAGTTACCTTCATTTTGATGTACATTACATGAGCATATCTCGTTTGTCTGACTTACTAAAATATTTATCATAACACTCATTGAGGCTCTGTTACTCCCTGGTCCCAAAAGTGTTAAAAAAAGCGCGGCCACATGTTGAACAAGTCAACAATTATATAACCTCGCATGTCTTGGTGCTGTCGGTCGTATGCCAGCGCTTGGGTTTCACTTGTGCTTCCCTATTCTTCTTCGCTCACTTTTGCGAGAGAAGCGAAACATGGATCCGCTGGCCTTTCGCGTGTGAACTTAACAGTGTCACACAGCAGTTTGTCATAGCGCCTAAAGAACGGATCTAAATACAACACCAACGCCTGTTTACAGAACCGTTCCCGCACTAGCATCTGCGCAGCGCCTGACACTTTTTGAACCAATATGGCCACCCGATGGCGCGCAGTCTTTTGAAAAGTATCTCCACCCTGGAAGCGGTGGTGCACGCACATCGAGGCACCCCCGTAACTGAACATGCTACCTTTCATATGCAGTAACTCTACGCTGCGTGAGATATGAATGCCATCTGGCAGTGGCGTTGGAAAACATAAACAAGTGCAGACCCCAGGGCCACTGCAAGGTGGCAGTGGCAGCACGATATCGTCGGCAGTGGGCTTTTTCGTGCATAGCATCGCTATTACAGCTCAGCCTAACAAACACTATCATTAGAATTACGTATCTACGCATTTTCCAGTAAGGCAACACACAGCCTAATACCTATGTGTTGACGTTGTGCCTCAAGTATGTGTACTTGAAAAACAAAAAACAAATATGCGTAATCCTTGATTTTTGATCGACAATGTTCACAAGTATGAACACAGCCGCTCGTTCGAAATGGCTGGTCGTTCAGCAAGTGCTTAAGCTTTGACCGAGTGTCTGGATCGTGAGACAGACAGACAGACCAAACTTTCTTGGATTCAAGTATTCCGAGAAAGAATATTGTTTTTAAAAACATGGTTGCTCCGTCCGCCATGAAAATTGGTATAACATGAAAGTAACTCATGCCCTTACGGAAGCTGTAGAACAGTGATGTTCCGTACTACGCCGGAGAATTCCCATGCAGATTCATAAACATCCCCTATTTTGGGGATTTTCCCTGCAAATGTTGACCAAATTTCCAGCATATTTTCCTGCACAACAGTACTAATTTCCGCCCCCATCTACGCACACATACTATAATTACGCATGTCTGACGTGCTGGTGACTTTTGAAATGATGACTAGCCCCACCACTGCCGCACAACAAAAGCATGACTTCATCATTTCATATACCCTTAGTACACTGCACATTGTGGGTTTCAAGTCCAACACCAATAGTGAACTATAAATCACTCCGCGTAAATATCAGAACCAAATCTGAAGAGATATGCTTGCGTGTTGTATGCGCCAAAACCGATTGCACCAGATTAAGGCGCACTGTGACCACTAATCATCGGGCGTCATAGGATAATTTAAATAATCCAGAAATTCCCTGCAATATCACGGATTCCTATTTTCCCTTTGACTCAATGTTACAGGCGAAAATTCCCCCGAAAAGGGAATATTCCCTGCACGGGACATCACTACAGTAGAATGGTTACCGCACATTGATATAACAGAGCTTGCGCAATGCTCTTGTGTTTCACTGCACCGTTTAATGTGTACCGTAGACCGACCCACGTTGATGGTACATGTCCATCCCGACGACTAATGTCCACGAATAAAGGTTAAACAAACACGTGTGGTCGTATTTGTGGTAGCTGTAGTAGTTAACGGTGAGAGTGGAATCAGAGAAAGCGGTTTGGCAGCAAGAAAAGCGTCGCTACAGCTTTGGACGCTGAGCTTGGGATATGGTCGCCAACCCGCGGCATGTTCAAGTTATTGAATATCACTGCCCGAGTAGAGGGAAACACAACGTGCGTCGTGTCTTCTCTGTTCGCCGGCCGCAATTTTTCGCGAGGCGAGTGTAAGTGAGTAATGAGTAGTAAGCCATTCACATAAGCCATTTCACGTAAGTCATTTCACATGTATGAATGCCAGTAGCGTAGTTGGAATTTTTTTTTAAGTGTTGGCAGTACGCAAGCAAATGCTTCGCACTTAAAACTATCTATAGCGCTATCGATAGTAAGTTTCAAAGTAATTTCGATAGCCTGAAGCGCAGTACGTGTAACTTGTAAACCGTGCTGTAAATTCAACTGCGTGAACTTATCGCAGCATGAACTTCATCTTCCGAGTATGAGATACACTTTAAAATCACTCTAAGAAAAACCGATTTTACGAAGTTTCTGACATAACAAAAACCTTTCCATTCCCCCAGCAAATACGAATGGCATGCAATGTGGTCATTATTCCGATCTAACGATTTTTTTACTGCTGAAGCAACTGAACGCCAAAGTGGTGATTCCTATCTAATTTTGCGCAAGACGAGTTTCTCGAGCGTACGTGAGCTCTAACACATCTATATAATTCACATATAAACCCAAAAAGTGGATGGAAAGAAGGCCGCTGTGGTAGCTCAGTTGTTAGAGCATCGAACGTGCTATTCGGAGGTCGTAGGTTCGATTCCTGCTCACGACTGGTTATTTTTTTATCCACTTTTGTTTCTTCATATTTACATTCCATTGGTTCTAATAACTTCCCCTGTACATTCCTTGGCATTAATGTCTGTTATATCTCAATAATATTCTGTTAGAACACGGAAAAAACGAGCCCTTAGGTATACACTTCTTTCCCTTATTTCATTGAACGAGGGTCTCGTACTGGCCGACTTGGTGTGTTTAGGTTGTATAAAGAGGGACAATTAATCAGCTGCCCGCTCATAATAAGTTCACATGCTACGTGACGCCAAACATGTGCATAAGAGTGTTTTCACGCTCGTTGTTTGGCTTATAGATGGCGCTGACTGTCACTCCTACTTGTACATCATGAATAATAAGGGTGAGCGTTGACGCTCACCCTTACTATTCATGATGTACCTACAAGGATTAGAGGCAAAATTAGAGGGAAGTGGACTGGGCTTCAACCTCTCTTTAGTCAAACAAGGAAAACTTATTGATCAGGCACTACCAGCATTAATGTACGCAGATGATATAGTGATAATGGCCAACAACAAGGAAGATTTGCAGAGATTGATGGACATCTGCGGTAATGAGGGATATAGGTTCGATTTTAGATTCAGTAAGGAAAAATCAGCAGTCATGATTTTTAATGACAACGAAGGTAGTGAGCTTAGAATACAGGAGGTCACGCTAGAGATAACAGATAAATACAAATATCTGGGCGTATGGATAAGCAATGGGACCGAGTATCTGAGGGAACACGAAATATACGTGACGACTAAAGGTAACAGGAATGCAGCAGTCATGAAAAATAGGGCACTGTGGAATTACAATAGGAATGATGTTGTGAGAGGAATATGGAAAGGGGTCATGGTTCCTGGGCTGACGTTCGGCAATGCTGTCTTGTGCGTGAGATCAGAAGTTCAAGCAAGATTAGAAATTAAGCAACGTGGAATAGGTAGGCTTGCTTCAGGAGCTCACGGGAATACACCAAATCAAGGAGTACAAGGTGATATGGGATGGACATCATTTGAGGGCAGGGAAGCTAACAGCAAGATAAAATGTGAGAAGCGATTGAGAGAAATGGGGGAAGAGCGTTGGGCTAGGAAGGTGTTCAGCTACTTGTACATGAAGAATGTCGATACAAAATGGAGGAAGTGAACCAGGAAGTTGACTGGTAAATACTTAGAAAACAGCAGGTGGCCAAACCAAAAAGAACTATCGGTCAAGAAGAAAGTGAAGGAAACGGAGACTGACATGTGGAGAATGGGCATGATTAAGAAGTCCGCACTAGAGATCTATTGAACTTTTAAGCAGGAGATTGCTAAGGAAAGGATCTATGATAATACTCGGGGTAGTTCTCTACTGTTTGAGGCCAGGACGGGAGTACTGCGAATTAAGACATATCGGGCCAAATACGAAGGGGTAGACACAGTATGCAGTGCGTGTGGAGAGGAAGAAGAAACTGCCGAACACTTGATAATGTTCTATAAAGGACTTCACCCTATAGTTCAGGATGATGGCGCAGAGTTTTTCAAAGCACTGGGATTTAGGGACAGCGAGGGCAAAGTCGACTTTAAGCGAGTAGACTTAACTAGAAGGAGGTTATCTGATTGGTGGCTAAAGTCAAGGCACGAGTGAAAATTAAACCCTTCACTGCGAAGTACGAATCCTCAACTTCATTATTTAAAGGAAAAAAAAAAGATAAATGTAATGATTAGTTCACTAAGTATTACGGCTAGGTGGCGTTAGCCGCCGCCCAATCTTAAGGTTACAGCCACATCCATCCATCCATCCATCCATCGATCCATCCATCCATCCATCCATCCATACTTCTAAATTCACATATAAACCCAAAAGAGTGGATGGAGGGAAGGCCGCTGTGGTAGATCAGTGGTTAGAGCATCGAACGCGTTATTCGAAGGTCGTAGGTTCGATTCCTGTTCACGGCTGGTTATTTTTCATCCACTTTTATTTCTTCATATTTACATTCCATTGGTTCTAATAACTTCCCCTGTACATTCCTTGGCATTAATGTCTGCTACATCTTATTAATATTGTGTTAACACACGGAAAAACGAGCCCTTAGGTATACACTTCTTTCCCTTATGTAGGTGTCATACGTAGTTGGGGACCTATTTTTCCTTTGACAAGGCTGCGCGCCGTTCCAATGTGCGGAAAAACAAAATGGCAGCCAGTAGCGTTGTTAAATACCCTTCGTGTTAAATACCTAATCAAACTCGGTGAAAAGTTCAAGCAGCTCCGCTGCCAAAAACAATAAGAATTCTCAAGCTCATGGCAGTTTCAATGACGTTTTGAATCGCGCGCTTTTCACAAGGCGTGAAATAAATCCATCCAATGAGAGTTGCCCAACAGCTTTACTGCGGAGGCTGCCGCGCGCGAACCATGCGGCAGCGGTAAACGTGACTTCCTTGGAAGTTTAAGTGTAGACTAATTGTGCTTTTTCAAGAAACACAGCTACGAGGCGTGCCGCTGTGTTTCTAGTCTCGTGAAATAATGTTTAGGAACGTCGTTTTAGCCAGTAGGTGTCGCGTTTTAGTTGCGCAGAGTCGCGCACGGCGCATTCATTCGGAGTCAAGTTCGTTGTATGTCCACGTGAGTAACGCATAACAATGCAAACTCCCTTTTCGTGCACATACTGCCTGACATGTGCCGTTGACGCTCCTGTTGACTTGGTTCGTGTTTATAAAACGGGCCGCGCAAATGCGCACACAATAGGTGATTGATGATACCGCCACAAACGTGGTGTGTTCACTTCTCACTTGTGTGCGTGCTTGCACGCCGGCTCTCTACAGCACGAAATACCTATCAACGTGCTCAGCTCGTGATTCTCTGCAGTGGCCGTATTGCGAGAAGCGATGCACCTACTGCAACTTCAACAAGTACGTCAGGTAAGGCAGTCCCGCTTGCATTGTGCGGGCATGGTGGTACATACGCGTCCAATTTGCAGCCGAAACGTTGACCACGACTTGATGATCGAATGCCTCGTACGGGAGTTGACGACAGCATTGCGAGGCAGCAAAGTTTCTACGATTACGACGGTGTTCTTCGGGGGAGGTAAGTTGTCTACGTCAGGAGTGATTGTGTTGGTTGATTTCCCGCGTCTCTGTTAATTTCTACGCACCTTATTTAGGCACTCCGACTCTCATGCGACCTGGTGATGTGGAACGCGTCTTGCGAGCCGTTTCCCGGCTGACGGTGACGCCAATTGAAGAGGTTACGATGGAATGCAACCCGAGCCCTTCAGCGAGAGACAGCCTCAGGTAATGACGAGTACAAAATTAGCCGTGCCTCAGTAGGTGGGGTACTCGTTGCATTGATCGCTTGCAGGTGTACTTATAGCAAATATTTACATGCTTGTATACTTGGTTGTATACATGCTTGTATACTGTGCGGCCTTGCACAGGGCTGATTGCTTGTTTCATAACGTGGTAGCATGACTTCACTGTCAACTTTATGGAATTTGGCGTTTTGCACAGCAGTGGCGTAGCCCGTTGGGGGTTTTAAACCCTGTCCCCGAAAATTAAATAAAGGACAGTCATTATCCTCTCCCTCCCCCTTCCATTTTGGGAAAAAAAGTTGCTATGCCTTTCTTGGTGAGTGTTGTTGAGGAATGTCGCAGTGCGTTTTAAATGCATGGAGCACAACTTGCCAGCACCTCAAATGGTCCCTAGAGCACCCAGAATTTAAAATTCAGTTTTGGTGTTGCAATTGTGTGTGAGTCTACAATGAGGACATTGGCATGAGCATTTTTCAAAACGGTGCTGGAATAATGGGGTCACATTCCCTCACTCGTTTCACTCTTTCCATCTCTGTGCTTAGTTTGTCGGTTTAACTGGCGCCATGCAGGGAGGAAGAGGTAGAGCACATCTGTACTGATGAGCAACCAGGTCTTGTAGATGACGAGCATAGGACATGTTGACGGTCACGCTTAACACTGCCGAGAGGCCTGGAGAGGAGAAGGCAATGGTGGAAAGGCTGCTCCAAAGTTCTCCAAAAGGGAAATGCTGCTTCAAACAGTAATTTTTGCTAGTAACAACTCCAAACCTGCTCTGCAAAGGCACTGGGAAACTGAAAACATTGAGCTTTGATCGTGTGACCATCCAGTGAGCCTAAACTAAACCAAAAAAACAAGCTGCATACTATCAGGCTAGTATGTCACTTGTGTACTAGGTGCATACAAGTATAGTCAGTATATATCTCATTTAGCTGTTTATTTGTGCCTGACAAGCGGACTATATTGGTGAAATGTTTGCGAGATTAGTTCAAAGTCATACTGATTGCTGCTGTTATGAAAGTGATGTGAACATTCATCACTTTTCGAGCTTTGACCTCATTTGGGCTATATTTTAAGTGTGTCGCTAACTCATCTGGTTCCCTTTATTATTTTTTTTTTTACTTTTCAATGCAGCCTTTTTTGGTGAACTATGAAAATAACAGATTGCTTTGACCTCTACTATTGATAAACTGCTTCTGTGATGGTGATTATATTAGGTGCTTGTAGTAAGTTTTATAAATTGGTGTTGAGCTTTATGGCTTTTATATAATTTCTACCACAGGTACGAAATAACAGATTGCTTTGATCTCGTACTATTAATAAACTTCTTTTGTGGTGGCAGTTATACAGTGTGATTGTGGTTACCTTTATAATTAGGTGTTTAGCTTTATGGCTTTTATATAATTTCTACCATAAGTATGGGTATGTCAAATATATAGTTCATCTGACTGGTGTTCAATAGCCATTCATTGGCTTAAGTTTCTTGCATTTAGCAGTGATTATTGTATGTGCAAAAAGTTTAATAATAAACATAATATTTGAGAAATGCTTAAATGATCTAAACTCCAGCATTAGCACAGGAATATCTTGCCATCTGCTTTGAACACACGAATTGCTGCTGTAAACTAGCATTTTTTTTTTTCTGCTCTGAAAATAATTAGAGCTGCTCCACAGCAGCATTTTTCTGCTCCAGCATCTGCTCCAAAAAGCAAAATGTCACGTCCATCATTCAAAAGGGATTGTGTCTTAGTGGGGCTTGCCATGGTGCACAGCACTGCTGTGGTTGGAATTGTTGATTGTGACTGCATTCTGCACTTTATCATGTGCATGTTTACTTGAAATGTTCAAAATTAACGAAGGGTGTTTAAAGGCCCTTTAATGTGCCCTAAACTTGCATAGTGCTCATCACACGGTATGCCTAGGTAATACAGCAATCAAATATGTATATCTAGCTAATGTTGAGCTTGCAAATGTTTTTTTGTTGTCAGCTGTCAGCTGACTGTAGATTGAATTGGCGTTATATCATCTCATCATTGTTATGACGCTTGTACCATTTTTTTTCTCTTGTTCCTCGCTAGAGTCCTGTTGCAGTGGTTCCTTTTGAGTGTTTAGATATGTACACGATCTTTTAATACTTGTGCAGTGTAATGCCTCGAGGTTGCACTCTGAGTTGTCACAAATTTTCGGAACATTCAAAGAATGTCTTTGCTCCATCATAATGCATGAAATTTTCCGCTGGGATTCCCTCCGGTTCAATAGAAACAGTAGGTGTACGCTTGTTCATTAACTCGTTTCATTAGAAGCACAGGTTACATTGTTCTTCTTGCAGGCTCTTTTGCCACCATTTTAAATTTTTGTCTGCGGCCAAACAAGCCCCTCCTTCCCCCCACCTCGTTCGCCTGCCTTTTCCATATCTTGTCCGATTATCTTACACTGTGGGATCAGAAAGGGGAAAGGCTTGCTCAGGATTTTATGACAGTTGCATCAGCTGTGAAGTCTGGTAAGGAAATAAGATTGACTGGCGAATCACATTTTATTGTCTTATGGAGTAGGCAGTAAATCAGTGTTTAAATAAATGCTGGTTAGCTGAATTTTTTTCAGGTACTGGAATGCATGTATATGTTCAATAGCCAAGGTAAATGAATCTCCAGTGTGAATGATTCAGCCAAGGAACCCAATCAGTGGGAGGGTTGCAGAAGTGGCGTACTTTAAAAAGGTGTGCTCAATCAATTTAAGTGTTGCGAGCCGTGGTGCTGCCTTTTCTCCATATTTTCTGCAACAAAGTGGATCATCAGAACTTATGGTCAAACATAATCATAAATGAATAGTCCATAGCCCCAACTTTAATTTGGCATGTCTTGGTCTCTATTGCATGTTCATCCAGTGCCATAGCAATGAAACCACTGGTCGTTTCATTGCTCGGCTGTTCAGACCATTCATTGGAATGACACGGGTCGTCTCTTTTCGTTGCAGGGACTTCAAAGAGGCAGGGGTGACGCGACTCTCAATTGGAATGCAGGTGTGTAAAACAGTTTATGCCAAGCATTAATATGGATCACATTTATGTTACCATTATAGAATTAAATGAGGGAATGAGGCCTCACTTCACTTACATTGCATACTGTATCGAACACGTCAAAAGAACGCATGTGCGCCTACCAAATAAGAGTTGAAAAGAGATGACATTCTCTGTTTCCAGATGTAAGCTGAAGCACCTGTTTCTTTTAAAGTTTCAAAATTTTATTTGGTCGTGGTACTTTCTTACGTTTCATGATGACTAGCTACACTTTGGTTAGACTCTCGATTTCATTTCCCATATTAAATGAATGTGTATAATCGACTCCTCCAACATCTTTCATCAAATGCTTTGTTTGCCTTTCTTTGCACAATGATCTCATTGAAAACCTGTGACTGGGAATTTAATCTACTCATTTCAGTTTGAAATGAGGAATCATCAATGAAACCGCCATGCACTATGTAATGTGTTCCTGGCACTGTGTGTACGGAGCCCACCTATGTGTGTGCTTTGCTGTCGGCGACGTACTTAATATGTGTAATGGTGGGGGTGTGTTCAGATGTTACCACTTTCAAATATTACTTCTTCATGTGCAGTTTGTACGTTGTAAAAAAGCATAAATGTTTCTTTCAACATCGCCTCTACGTTTTATTTGTCAGTTGGCTTGGCCATTCGCAGTGGTCATTCAAAACTCCTGAACTTCAAAACTGTTCTATTTGAAATTTTAAAAGCTCTCAAACACTTAGTGGTGCTTAAAAATTCCTAAATACTTGTGGGCTATGACTGGTGTTGTTTGGCACGGTGCTTGTCTATGAACTGGCCACACTAGAAAAGAGGATTGCCTTCGAGTTCATGGCTATCAAACCTGGTTTGTGCATTCGGCATTTTGTATCCTATGTTTTCTGCCATGGTGTTGCGTTTTGCTCATCAGCCTTAGACCTTCCCATTCGCACTAGAGAATGCATTATGTGGAGCGTGGTAGAGGGGGAGATAGAATTGTCTGTGCACCCTACTCGCAAGTCGCTCAGCAGAAAAACAAAGATGCACTGAAGCCAGAGTTTCCATCTTGTTCATGGGAGAGTGTGTTGTAAATGATGGGACAAGTTAGAAGTGCAGTGGGACAAGTTAGAAGTGCAGTGGTGGCGGGATGACTCCAGGATATAACCCTTATTCTGAGATATGCGACACTGCATAGTGTATCTGCACTTTCAATGTATTCAATGAAATTGAAAGCCAAATTTCATGCTGATGATGCAGTTGGATGCCATGACTCTGGCCCCCAAATTTTTTTTCAATTTGTTATGTGTCAAGTGCTGTTTTAATATAAATGATAAAAAGAAGAACATTATAGTGTCTGTTTTGATGTAAACGATGCAAAGGAGAACATTACAGTGCGTACTTGAAAAACACTTTCGAGGGCCTCCACGAGGTCTTTAAAGACCCCTGAGTTCTTGTCTTCAAAGTTGGTGGTAACCCTGTGAAGCAGATTGATGGCAGCGTAAAATGAACTTCCAGCGCAAAAACTTCCGACAAGTAACACAAAAAACGAGGACGAGCGCTCCTTCTCGTCTCTTGTGTTACTTGTCTGAAGTTTTTGCACTGAGAAGTTCAGTAATGTATTACCAACTAGCCCAATCCCACACTTTACTTCAGCGTAAAATGACCATGCTACCTGTGTTTACTGCTTGTTAAAATGGGGAAGTATGCAACCCCTCCCTCAAGTTTTTTTAACCCCAAGCTGTTGAATCTGCGTAACATCATGGCTACAGCTTCTAGATTCTATGTACGGTATGTGAAGCTATAGAAATACTGTGTGCAACATTTTTATAAGGAGAAGGAGAATGGAGAAGCGGCTTTTCGGGACTGCAAAAATAATTTTCTGGAAATGTTGTTTTGAGCTCCTTCCCGTACTATGCATAACCTGACGAATTCTCATGTGTCCCAAGTAATTATTTTAGCTATATTAGCCTTTTATATTAAATCAGGAACTGTTAGTGTTTTGTTCATTGTCCATTTCTCTGTTTCCTTTTTTTATAACCCCATGAAATTCTGGGCAGCTTTTGTCAACTTCCTCTCTCTAAATTTTCGTCATTATGTCTTGCCGAGAAACAGAGTGTCTGTCGAGCGAGAGTAATATGTTGCTAAATGATAGTTGTTAGAAACCGAGAGATAACAAGAGTGCTTTTTCTTGGTCATTTACCGTAAATCAAAATTCTGCTGCTTCCAGACATCTGTGCTTCGAAAACTAGGACCATGAAGTTGTTGAACTCTTTGATACCCTTGGGATCTATTGATGTCTCATGCAGCAGGATCTAAGTCGCCTGTTTACTAAAAATGTGATCTAATGACATTTTCACAAATAGTTAAAAAGTTGGTGCTTTGGTGATGAAAAAGCGGTCTCATATTTCATATAAGCTCACGAAAGTACTTAATGAAGAATGTTTAAAAGACCTCTTTCGTCCTTAATTGACATACACTTGCACCAGGAACATTATGTGTACCAATGAGTGGAAGATTCCTTGGCAGGTTTGGCGAAATTAGCAAATTATAAAATATAAAAAAAGGGAGTGCCAGGTGCAACAACTCTAATATCATGTAATGCCTAAACAGAGCTTGTGCAGCGATGTCGAGCTCGCGTCTCTGGGGCGGACACACACTGTGGAGGAGAGCATGGAGTGTCTCGACCGAGCCGTGCACCTCTTTCCTGGCCAGGTGTCGGTCGATGTCCTGTACGGCCGACCAGGGCAAACTCTTGACAGCTGGCTGCAAGAAGTGCAACAGGTACGAGTTTGAAAGCCACGCTGTGCAAGAGCACAAAAAGTTTATAGATTAGTGTCACACTTTGCAGTAATGAAACTTTAGTTGTAGCGAGTAGTATATTCAGTTAACAGGGGTGGAAGTGCTGCACCGATTGCGTTGTTCTGCCCCTGTCTGACCTGCCGTGCCAGAACGGCAATCTGCACGTGTGATGCCAAATTTAGCTGAGTCTTATCATTCACTGAGGAAAACGCGTTGGATACACAAAGGACGCAGCTGCAACCATATCCCGTGTAGTTTGGTCACGTCGCATTTCGGTTCATGCATGGTGCTCGCACCATGCATGGACTCAACATTATGCATGAATCTTGCGCCATGTGAACAAAATGCCCTAACTTTGTTAAGGTGGTGTTTTTGCACAGACCTCATTACGCGAATTTATCTTTTAACAGTAAAGCTGTTAGATGGCTGCATGGTTGCGAAAAACTTGCCGCATCGTCGGATCATAAAAACTGAAAAAAAAAAAAGGTAAATGAAGATCTATTTCTTCTGCGAAGCGATGAATGCAATAGCAACAAATTGTGACGTTGCAATGTTAATGCCACACACCCTCCTTTCTTGCTATTTGTGTTACTGCCTCATTATATGCGTTACCCTGCTTTTCGCAAACCACACGTGATTGACTGGGGACCACCTAGATAATCTTCCGTTGAAAGTACACGCACAATGTGTATGAAAGTTTGCTCTGGAACTTATGCGGTCGTTATCGATAACACTGGGATCTTCGATGGCGTGCCAACGCGCTTCACTGCTCGGCAAATTATCGACGGCCGACGCTCTATGTTCCTTGCTATCAGTCCATACGCGTGTATTGCTTGTTGAGTGACGTTTTGTTTTCCGGACTCAGGTTCGTCATAAAAAGTTCAGTTATGAAAACGGCGACTGTGGCCTTCGTCAACGTCACGACGCCGTTAAAATATGAAGTAAAGCCAAAATTTTAAAGTAAGCCCGTGAAAATATGAAGTAAAGCTGCATTTTTTCGGATTTGATATCGTGTAACTTAACAAAACGCTGGTGTATGAGAAAAATTGTGGTCGCTCCACGGAAAGATGCTTTTTTCGCACAATTTCTTCCCGTTAAGAGCGCACCACGAAGAAGGGTGTAAAAGCTGTGCGCAGATGCTGCCAAGATAGCGCTCGCACCATCGATGGCGACTGCTCCCTCAGATTCAAGGTTTACAGCTGCTGCTCAATTGACCCCCCCCCCCCCCCCCCCCCCTTGCATTTTTTCATGCTCGTTCAAGACGGGCAGGTGTGTTTTCTTGAGCGTTTGACGGCAGGTCTGACATGGGGCAGGATGGCATTGCATGTGCCTTCAGAGTGTGGAGATCGACCACTTCGTTTAATCTCTGGTTGAGCAGCGCTCGTCACCCCCTGTTGCGCGAGTTTACCCCCAAGTAGAACATACGATACGCAGGGGGTGTTATCAATTTGCAGTTTACGTGGAACGTGGCGGTTTGGCAAAAACCCGCGGAGTGTCCATATAATCCCTGTCGCAATAAAGAATACTTTTCGGGCCATCTCCTAGCAATGACGCGGCGCGCACACAGATTTTTCTTTATGTCTACTTTGGCATTTCGATGTCCGGAACATAAGTTAGAACTCACTTCTTGTCTTTCAGGTTCAATATGAAGATAACTATTATTAGCTCATTTCAAGTCTTGAGTCGCTGTTCGTGTTAGATGCCGTGTTTTCATCACATTTTTCGCATTGCAAAATTTTAACATTGTTTTTTATTTTTTCGAGGTCTAGTCCAAAACGTCGCCTATGTCTCTTCTTTGAGTGGCTGCGCTTTCAGCTTTGATGTTGTAACGTTAAATATATATATATATATATATATATATATATATATATATATATATATATATATATATATATATATATATATATATATATATATAGCGATTCGCTTCATCAGCACTGAAATTTTTCGCGTTTACCTGAAAGCAAGAATTTTAAATAACAGTGATGTTTGATGCTAGAAATATGCTCCAAAACTAAACTTCGTTGCTCCAGAACACCTTTTGGTGCCCCAGAGCTGGTTGAAAACTCCCCTTTTACTGCTCCAAATCTGCTCCAGTACCCCAAAATTCTTGCTCCCTGAGCTGCTCCAAAAGACTGAAGCCTGCTTTCATCCCTGGGTTACTACTACAGGCTTGTAATCTATTAATTTGATGATTTAATACAAGCAAGTAATTTCAAGAAAATCACACATTACTTTTCTCAATTCTAGCTTCCTATATGGCATACTAAATTGACAAATAGCAGGGTTCGCACCGCCCCTTGAAATCCTTAAATATCCTTGACATTGCACACCTACCAACTGCTCTGAATTTCCCGTAAGAAGTACGAATTTCGACTGCGCTTAAGATTTTAGGAATCTTGCCTGCAATTTTACGAAAAATATTTCATTTCTGATAAAAAAAAAAATAGAATTAGTAAAATAGCGTGGCCTCTGCGATTGGCTACAGCGCATTGCCGTGGCAGTCACGAGGCCACAAAAACGGCATCGGGCTATATTCCACCACCAGGAGAGAACAACATGTATTGGTGTTACCATCATCTGTACACGCCTATGTGAGTGAGTGCTAGAACTTCATTTTACAGCTAGCTTGTTGGTGCAATATCCTTTCACTGTTATCTGTCACTGCTTCTGTATAGGATCCTGCTTTTGTTTACTTTACACGCTGTATTTGTGGACTTGCTGCTTCTGTGTAAATGATTATCTAAACTGAGAGAACATTAAACTAAATGAAAGCAAAATTTTCTTCTTATGTGGGTGTCATGAAAAGCCTGTGCGTTCTCTAAACACAGAGGTAGCTGCTCCAAAAGAAGATTTTGCCTGCTCCGATGGCTGCTCCAAAATGCTGGAAGGCATTACCACCACTGAGCCATAGTAAAGGAAGTTGAAAATGGCACGAAGAAAGCTGCTGTTGCGACAAAACATGGTATTGAAAATATCACCATGTCAGGGGTTTCGAAAAATCATTACAAGGTGCCACAGCAGCTGGACATGAATGCTGCTCATCGTTCAGAAAATGAATGTGCACTTCAAAGTACGAGGACACTGACGCTGCCTTATTGCAGTGGTTGAAAGAAATGCAGGCTCAAACTTGCCTACTAGTGGGCCCATTTTGCAAACAAAGGCCAAGTGCTTCACTAATCTTTTGGGGCGCGATGACTTTAACCTCTTAACTGGCTCGTTGCAGCATTTTAAGGATCGCCATGGAATAACCTATAGGATTATTTCTGGCAAAAGTGGAGATGTTTATGACTTCGCCGTTCGAACGTGCTTGGCCATCAACGTCGAGACTATGTTTCTGGCCCTTGTGGACCATGACATCTACAACGCTGATAAGCCGGGTTGTTCTACAACCTACTCCCAAATCGTACACTTTCAATGAGGGGGGTGCCCCACACTGCACGTAAGGCATTGAAGGAGTGCGTGACAGTTTTGTTCTCTCTCAACTTGGATGGGTTGGACAAGTTCCGCTTGCTTGTCATTGGGAAGTAAGCGGGGCCACGTTGATTCTGGAAGACGAAGCATCTTCGCGTGACGAACAAAGCTGACAGCAAGGCTTGGATGACCTAAGACTTGTTTATGGAATAGCTGCAAGATTTGACGAGGAGATGGTGACGCAAAAGCACCGTGTCGTTTCATTTTGGATAACTGCACCGCTCACAACGTGTATTAAAGCAAGCGACTGTTAACGTGAAGTTCCTGCCTGCCAACACTATCGCGAAGAGCCAGCCGCTTGATCAAGGTGTCATAGCAACTAGAAAGGCACTCTACAAGAAGCGCGTATGTGAGAAAGTTTTGCTGAACTTGCAGCAGAAGGAACCTCTCAAAGTGATTTTGAGAGCGGCTATAGACATGATCACGGCCTTGTGGTAGCAAGTGCTGGTGTCTACAATAAAGAATGCTTTCAGAAAGCAGGTTTCATCAGTGACTGCTCTACCGGTGTGCCCATTCACGACGGCAACAACGAAACACTGTGCGAGGACGAGGTGTGGTCCAATTTGATGAATAACCACATTGTGTCAGAAACTTGGACTTTCGAAGGCTTTTTTGGAGGACATCGATGATGACGTGGACGTGTGCGAGAAGGCTGTATCTAATAAACACTATCGTCGCAGTGGTCCGGGGTGATAATGACGTGGCTGCACTCGAGTCCGTGCTTGTTAAGGATGATGACATTCTAGGCCTCTTGCAAGGAGGCACTAGAGTATCAGAACAAATTGAAAGGGCTTTGTGCCGCCAACAAGCTAACGGGCAAGGCACTCCCACGTCTCTTAGCTGTTCAGGACAAAGTGATAGCTGAGGCCATGAACAAGCAGTGGCAAAATAAAATAACATCATTTTTTTGCTCGTGTGAACTATACTTAAAGGCATTTTGTGAATCCACTTTGAGCCTTGTCTGCTTCACGTGAAGACAGTTTGAAATGACCAGGCGTGGGATGTGCACAAGCAGGTAACCCTTTATGTATATAAGTTGACTACTAATGCTTCCGTGGCATTACACTATTTTTTGTATGAACATAGCTGCCTAGCCCACATGGTTTGCATATAAGTAGACTTTCAAAATCACTGTTTTGATTATAGTGCGTTATGGCTTATAGTGCAGTTATCCTGCGACTCCGGTGGCTTACGTTATAGTAAGCAGTCTACACTGCACATTGACGATGCAGGTGGTTCAGCTTGGCACAGCACATGTGTCTCTGTACGAGCTTACCCTCGAAAGGGGCACTCAGCTGTTCAAGGAAGTCCAGGCAGGCTTACAGGTGCGTACACTTTGGCTTATGCCTCATTTATGGAAAGATATTGCCATGCGTGTTATTTTGACATGCTCGGTTGAAACCAAATGACTGTGAGCAATACTCGGCACAGATCGCGCCTCAGCGTTCGAGAACCTTCACGATTGTAGTAGATCATTTCGCTAAGACTGCGCACTAGATATGAACACTCAACATTTTTCCAGAGTTTCCGCAACTGTCAATGATAAGTTCATTGCGTGATGTATAAAAGATGGTGCAATGTATTAGTCGCAGCGGTTGTTTTCGAACCACAGGCGGTAACAGACGTCGTAGCCGAGGCCAAAGTGCTGCTGAAGAAACTTGCTGAAAGCGGGCGTTCGCTCCGGTGAACGCGCTTTTGCAATCATCTTGTTGATGCTGCAACGGCATTTGTTTGGCGTAGGCACTGCGCCGTGTCGCCTAAAGGCAGAAAGAAGCAGGATGTCTTTTTCTCTTCCTCAAGAACCACACATTCATTGTTTGGCTTGGCATTGTTGCAACATTGCGAGCTAAGCCGGCACCATGGTTGGCAGGATCGGCTCTGCATTGCGCTGTTCGCGATTTAGCGCGGCTTAAAAAGCTGCCGGATTATTGGTGCACGGTTGCAGCCGGCACTTCGCCTCCCGGGTCTTTTTTGTGCCAGGACTGTAGGTAAGGGGTAAATGCGGGCTCGCTAACGTTTCCACTGTTGGCGTTTTTCTAGAGTTGTGCGTGGCTTAACCATGCAAAAGGTTTCAGGAGAAAATGATGCTTGGGGCCGCGGCCAAGAATAGATGGACAACCTCACTCACAACGCAGCCAATGGCGCGCGTGCTTAGGTAGGACACTGAAAACTACGTAACTAAAAAAACATCCAATGGAGACTGCTTGTGACGCCGCTGCTGGACAGTTTTTCGTTCCTCCTAGCCATATACAACTTTGGCTGTAAAACGAATTTTTTTTATATATTGTTGGCATCGTCGAACAAATCGTCATTGTTTGCCATCAGGCGTAGGTAGGCTTGCTTGTTATATGAGTGGCTTTTCTATTGATGACCGCACAAGAGCCATGAGCTTCATTGGTAAACTGCACGCAGTCAATGTTGAAAACAAAAACAAAAACGAGGCAATCTGAGCAAACAGGCACCAGGCTTTTTTCAATTGGGTCTATGCATCATTTAGGCAAGAAATTGTGTCACTGTCTGTAGGAAAGTAAATTGCGGTGCAGCGGGTGGACTGGTTTTCAAACCTGTGACCTTTTTTAAAGTGATTTTCTATAAAATAAAGAAATACAAATGGCTGCTCCACTCCTGTAAAACCTGAGCAAGTTCGTAGCTCGGGCACCCATTTGCAAAGAATTTTCAGTTAATTTTTGTGATTACTTCTTGCTTATTTTTGTTAGTTAAAACAGGGGTGAAAGTGCTTTGCCATTTGTGCCATTCTGTGCCAATCTGACCTGCTACGCCAAGCGGCGCCTAAACGGTAATTTGCGTGTGCAACGCCAAATTTAGTTGAGTTTTATCACCAACCGAGCAATGGTCGTGGGCTACACAAAGGGCGCAACCGCGTCCATATCAAATTAGTTCGGTGACGTCGTATTTCGGTTCATGGATGAATCTTGTCAAGGCGGTGTTTGTGTAGATACCTCATTATGCGAGTCTATATATGTTTTAACAGCAAAGCTGTAAGCCTAACCATATAAACTGAAAAAAATTAAAATCAGTTTCACCGGTGAAGTGATGACGGCAATAGGAAAAATTTGTAATGGTAATGCCGCACACGCTTTCTATTTTTTCTACCACATTATTACGCGTGTAACGCTGCCTTGGGCAATCCGCTCCCGAATCACTGGGAACAATCTAGATAGTCTTGGAACCTTCCAATGAGATCACGCGCGCAACGCGTGCATTAGGTTTTGTTCTGGAACTTACGCAGCCGCTAGCACTAACGCCAGAATCTTCGATGGCACATATATAAATGTTGACGCACTTTGCTGCTTCGCAGATTATGGATGGCCAACGCTCTGGCTTGCAGCTATCAGTCTACAGCTTCTATTGCTTGTAGAGTGACGTTTTGTTTTCTGGACACAGGTTCGCCCAAACAAGGTTCACTCACGAAAACAGCGACGGCTGCCTTCGTCAACCTCACGACCTGTGACAATACGGAGCTTGAAAGCTAATGCTTTTGAATCCGACATCGCGACACTCTGCAAAACGCTGGTGTAAGAAAGAACGTGGGGCCACTCCAGGGAGAAATGCTCTTATTGCACAATCTCTTTCCGTAGAGAGCACACCACATAGAACAGTGTATGAACCGCGTGCTGATGCTTGCCGACAGCGCCCGCGCCGGCCTATTACAACCACACTTTAGAATCTAAGTTCACCGCTGCTGCTGGGTGGCGTGTTTCCTCCCTGCTTGAGCATTCGACGGCAGGTCTAACACGCGGTGAGATAGCATCGCTTGCGCCGTCGCTTCTGAGCGACAGAGATCGGCCGCCTCATTTAATCTCTGCTTGCGCAGCGCTCACCACTCCACCTTGTACAATTTTACGCGCGGGTAGAACGTATGATGCGCGGGGTATGTTACGAACTTGTAGTTTATGCGGAACATGGCGGCGACGGCGAAAACCCGTTTGAGTGCCCATGTAGTTCCCATCCCAATAAAAAAAAAAATCACTTAGTTGCCTAGCAGTGGGGTGGCGAGCCCATCTAAATTTTTTCGCGGTGTTCATGTCGGCTGTGGCAGTTCAATTTATTTTTATAGAGCCCTATTGGTTTAGTCTGAAGATAACTTTTATTATATTTGTTTATCTCTTGTGTTGAGTTGCTGTTCATGTTATATGCGGTGTTCTGACCACATTTTGAACATTGTAACATTTCAACACAAAATTTTTTATTTCTCTGAGTTGCTGTGCTTTCAACTTTAGTGTTGCAAAGTTATATATATATATATATATATATATATATATATATATATATATATATATATATATATATATATATATATATATATATATATATATATATATATATATATATAATTTGCGGCAAGTCTGGTCACTTGATCAGCATTAGATGCCTAGTAAAAAGCACTGAATTTTTTTTTTGTGTTTATCAAAGAGCAAAGAGAACACGAAAATTCTGCTGCCTCTAGCGCTGCCTCCAACATGGAGATAACGCTGCTTCCAGCATGGAGATGATAGATGTGTCAAAGTAGGGGCTTCAAGTAATGCTGTTTTGGACCTGAAATTCGGGCAGGGAGTCCGCAAAATCAAACACCGAAGATTTTCAGCATCCACAATTTCAAATGTTCCTATATATTGACATCTATGAGGAAGATTTGGAACTCTGGACTTGAAAGGAGCACACCCTTGTCTGCCACATCAATTGTGCTTCCACAGAAATTGAATGAGGAGGAGAGGCAGAGGAAACAGCTTCTTTGCCTTTCATGTGTAAGCAACAATTGTTGGCAACACTTTAGTTGCACTGAATTGTTTTGGCACGTTCACAGTTAAAGAGAACGCCTAAGTGCACAGCATGTTTAGATTTTTCTTTATTGCAGAAGCATTGTGGTGCAGATTGTTTCTATAACTACTTGCTGTTACAGAACCAGCTATCGAATATTTATGGTGTGCGTTCGAGTGTTCCCTTTAATAGTCGATCGTAATGTGCGTAAATGCAATTCAGCCTTTGCATTTCCTCGTTCTCGGTAAAACAACTATGACATTTCAGAAACGCTTGAGAAACATTAGAAAGATATTCAATTCACATTTCGGTATTTCAGCTTGCTTCGCTTTGCGCCCAAAGCTTGCTATTCCCATGGCTCAAGTTATGACATTCTAGATCGTGTTCATTCATTTCAACCCATTTTTGAATATTGCTAACTTTGTGATGGCCTGTATTGAGCGCTTCGCTGCGAGTGTGATCATGTCACGCGAGATGTGTGGATGGGCGATAAGCCTAATCTTCAAAGCCGTGCTCCGCACTTAGAAATTGCAGAAGGAGCTTACACCTCGAAAGGCTTGCTCTTTTTGCAGGCCAGTGTTTTGGTGACATTTTGAATGAATACGTTAACAGATGAGTGTGCTTTGGCCCTTTGCTAGAGTGTGCTTTGGCCCTTTGCTAAGCAGCATCGCATGCTCCAATACTTTTTTTTTTTTTTCATGCAGTCCCTGCCTAGCAGTGAGACATGCTCCCAGATGTACTTGGCAGCTGTTGAGGTGAGGACGTAGCAGCACCGATTCCTTTCATCTGCATTTCGTGTTTGCTAAGTACATTATTTTTGCAAGTACATTAGAATCTCGGCGATGGAGATGCTGCTCCGAATTATGCCAGAAGAATATGCTGCTACAATGTGCAATGTTTGTTAGTAACAGTAACTGCTCCGAACCTGCTCCTAAGTGCCGTAGAGAAGCAACTGAAATTGGTGAATTTTAAACATGTAGCCATCTATTGAACCTAAATAAAACTGCAACCAAGCTGCATAATATCGTCCTAGTCGGACACTTGTGTACTAGCTGCAAATTTCTGGTCGTGATGATGCGCATAATGTAGATGGCCTGAAACGATATCAATGAATTTTCACTATGGGGCTTTCTTTCCGTAGTTCTTTTTCCCCCCATAGTTCATTTCGTTGGCAACGTGGGTCTTTTGATGTTAATTTTTGGAAATTTGAATGCTCACCGCATGGCATGCCTCGATTCTCAGACTCGCGAGACTTCATGCTCAGCTAGTTTTGAGCTAGTGTAGCCTACGAAGTAGGCTTTTTCGGCTGAAGTGCGAATATTTGCGAGTTCAACAACATATATGTTATCCGCGGTCTATGCTGTAGTTGGAATAAAATTATATAAAACAATAGGCGCATCCCAAACTCGGAGCCGAATTTTCTGGAAAAAAGTGCGCCTATAATGCGAGTAAATAAGGTAACTTGCCACGGGCAAAGACCGAACCTGCGAGAAGGTTGCAGGTGTGGTACTTAACCACGGCAAGATATCTTTTCGTTCACTTTCCTTTCTTCACATTTACTACTGATAACGTCTTGATTACGTTCCTTGGCCGTATTGTCTGTTCTCGTTAAAATTGCGCCTTACAACGAAAAAGAAGCCCTTAAAATTTACGCTTATTTCCTGCATTGTGCAATGTCCTCCTGAAGGTCATGGAATGTACCATTGGTTTTCTGTATTTCATTGCTTCACCACAGAAGGTACGAAGTTTGCATGCTAAATATAAAGTTTTGAAAGACTAACTTGTGCATTTAGTTTTGCTGCTTACAACTTAACGGGGAGTTATACTTCTTGAGCATGCCAGACTTGTGTTGCATCACTCTTGACATCTGATTTGACATTTGAATCTCCTGGTAGGTCTTGGAGTTGCAAGGTGTTCTACGCTACGAGGTGTCCAACTTTGCACGCAAGGTATTGCTTATTTCCTTGCGTTAAGAAACCTGCTTTTATTTTTTTTACTAAGTCTTAGCAGCAAGCAGGGATATAAGATTGCTGTAAACTGAGGCCCCATCAAACAAAATTCAAACTTGAGCAACAGAACGGAAAGGCGCTCTAAGTATATACATATTGACTTAAAACGCCTTTTTTGCCATGCACTGTTCTTTGTCATGAAAGGTGCCATGTTATGTCAACGAGCAGGAGGGTCCTGCACAAAGTACAAAACAAAAACGAGACAGAGTGCGATTTACTAACTGTTTGTCACACGAACAGTTTTCAGTCTGTGCCCTTTCTGTCTTTTCATTCCTCCATGTTTTGCATAGTACAATACTAGTTTCATGTGAACCAAGAAGTGTGTGGGTCAAGTTTAACTGATACATCTATATTTGTCATGTTGGTGACAAAAATTGATTTTTCTAACTACTCTCATTGCACTCTCTCTTGTCGCAACCCACGGCAAAATCGTCAATGTTGATGAAGCTGCCCATCATTGTTGCCCTTACATTTGTCATGGTCTGGACCAGTGTTGTGGTGTTGCCACTCCAGAATTGCAATGATTTTGGAAGCATTCCACATTTTTGTGATTCCGGAATGGAATGGGATAGACATGGGGACAATGGTTGAGGGAATGGAATTAAGGACATTCTGCCCAGAATGGAATGGGAATGGAATTATGTTCTTTTCTGATACTAGAGCACATTTTCGTCCTCGTGATGTTTTTCAAACTTCTTACATTAGTAAATCAGAGCCCTGAATGTAACGATCAAGCAGCATTTTTAAAAAGGCCAGGCTGATTGCAAGCACGATACATCTATAAGCAAGGCGCCTACTCCAACAATGTCCTTATATTAGCTCTGTTCCTCCGAAGTTGATCTCTATTCGCTAATCGCAGTCGAGCGTAACTATGGCAGCAGCATGCCCCCCTCACCTTTTACCCCTTCTCATTATTTTTTCCTCGGCTGCACCCGAGCTGCCAGCTGTCTGCCCACCCTTCGCTCCTTTGCGCTATGTCGCTGTCGGCGACTTCGACGCATATTCGAAACAGCGCTTGTTTAAGTTGTGATGCCTATGTTAATGCTGTTAATGCCCAATTTCAATGATCTTTAATACAAACGGTTGTCTTAAAATATATCTGTTCCAAAGAATTCCTGGTTTCGTATGTCACTTCCCGGGAGTTCACTAAGGCCCCAAGTCCATCTTTGGAGACCAAGATGTTCAACAAGGTCTGGAACTAGGATACAGGCACATTATGTTCCAACTGTAGTGACCTCACTACTCACCGTAGTGGATGATAGCTGGGGGTTCAGGCTTAGCGAGCCATAGGGCCGCGTCTCTGTCACCTACTCACGTGTAGCGCACCGCTCTGTGCGCCCTCAACTAACAAAGCGTTTAGAGCGGCGCGGCAATACATACAGTGTTTGATTGAATAGCAGTACACGAACACTTTATTGCCTTTGGCGGCACCCCGAACAATAGTACAACGTCCGCTTTCGGGACGCGGAGAGCAAAGGCTCCCGCAGGCGAACATTCACAATAAGGGGAAACCATGAGCATGTTGCAGCTGGCAGTGGCGACCTTTGACACGCCAGTCACGAAAAGGTTCCTTGCGGCTATGCTGCGCACTCTCACGATGGCCCCTGGGCCTGGTCGCGAGAGTTAGGGCAAACCTTGTATGCCTACGAAAAGTGCGGCTTAGCGTGGTGCGACCACTTCAAGCACTAAACACCGCTGTTGGCTTAGCGTACGGTACCGAAGCTAACACTCAGGTAAACACGGCCACCGGAAATTCCTAGGCACCCAGGCAGGCTACAGTCCGGCGATTCCCAAAGGGGACGCGGACGAAGAAAAACCACATGCTTACCTGGTACTGGCCAACGGAGAAGAGACCCTTTCTGGCATGGACAGCGCACGTGACTCGGCCTTGCTGATTCTCGCAGCCCCTGAGAGCACCCGCTGCGTGTGGCGCCATGTATCACCATGCGCCTTTACCGGAGCACGGGAAAAAAAAAAAGAGTGGCCGTATGGTGAAATGCATGCAAAAGGGTCGCGGGTGCGCCTCAGATCCCCACACAACTTATTTCAATCTACTGCCTCCCAGTATTTTTCGCGTATAAACAAAATACAAAAAAAGAAAAGCTGCTACGACGTATTTGTCTATATGTGTAACGTGCATCTGGTGTGTTTCTTTATACAGTCGAGCCCACATATAATCATCATCATCAGCCTGACTACGTCCACTGCAGGATAAAGGCCTCTCCCATGTTCCGCCAGTTAACCCAGTCCTGTGCTTGCTGCTGCCAATTTGTACCCGCAAACTTCTTAATCTCATCTGCCCACCTAACCTTCTGTCTCCCCCTAACCCGCTTCCCTTCTCTGGGAATCCAGTTAGTTACCCTTAATGACCAGCGGTTATCCTGTCTACGCGCTACATGCCTGGCCCATGTCCATTTCCTCTTCTTTATTTGAACTATGATATCCTTAACCCCCGTTTGTGCCCTAATCCACTCTGCTCTCTTCTTGTCTCTTAAGGTTACACCTACCATTTTTCTTTCCATTGCTCGCTGCGTCGTCCTCAATTTAAGCTGAACCCTCTTTGTAAGTCTCCAGGTTTCTGCTACGTAGCTAAGTACCGGCAAGATACAGCTGTTATATACCTTTTTTTGAGGGATAGTGGCAATCTACCTGTCATAATTTGAGAGTGCTTGCCGAATGTGCTCCACCCCATTCTTATTTTTCTAGTTACTTCAATCTCGTGGTTAGGCTCTGCGGTTATTACCTGCGCTAAGTAGACATAGTCTTTTACAACTTCAAGTGCACTATTAACTATCTCGAAGCGCTGCTCCTTTCCAAGGTTGTTGTACATTACTTTCGTTTTCTGCAGATTAATTTTAAGGCCCACCTTTCTGCTCTCCTTGTCTAACTCCGTAATCGTGAGTTGCAATTCGTCCCCTGAGTTACTTAGCAATGCAATGTCATCGGCGAAGCGCAGGTTAGTAAGGTATTCTACATTAACTCTTATACCTAACTGTTCCCATTCTACGCTTCTGAAAACCTCCTGTAAGCACGCGGTAAATAGCATTGGGGAGATTGTGTCCCCCAGCCTTACACCCTTCTTGATTGGTATTCTGTTGTTTTCTTTATGAAGCACTATGGTAGCAGTTGATCCCCTGTAGATTTCTTCCAGAATGTTTATATATACTTCATCTACGCCCTAATTCCGCAGTGTCTGCATGACGGCAGATATTTCTATTGAATCAAACGCCTTCTCGTAATCTATGAAGGCTATGTATAGTGGTTGGTTATACTCTGAGCATTTCTGTATTACCTAATTGATAGTATGAATGTGGTCAATTGTTGAGTAGCCTATTCGAAATCCTGCTTGTTACTTTGGTTGATTGAATTCTAATGTTTTCTTTACTCTGTTAGCAATTACCTTTGTAAATAGCTTGTATACTACAGAGAGGAAGCTGATCGGCCTGTAATTCTTCAAGTCCTTGTCATCTCCTTTCTTATGTATTAAGATAATGTTAGCGTTCTTCCAAGACTCTGGTACTCTTCCCGTCAGGAGACACCTTGTAAACAGGGTGGCTAGTTTTTCTAACACAATCTGTCCCCCATCTTTCAGCAGATCTGGTGTTACCTGATCCTCACCAGCAGCTTTGCCTCTTTGCATGCTCTCCAAAGCTTTTCTGACTTCTTCTATCATTACTGGTGGGGTGTCATCTGGGTTACTGCTAGTTCCTATAGTAATAAGGTCGTGGTTGTCTCGGCTACTGTACAGATCTCTGTAAAACTCCTCCGCTATTTTGACTATCCTATCCATATTGGTAGTTATTTTGCCTTCTTTGTCCCTTAGTGCATACATACGACTTTTGCCTATCCCAAGTTTCCTCTTCACTGCTTTGGCGCTTCCTCCGTTTTTCAGAGCGTGTTCAATTCTCTCCATGTTATACATTCTTACATCGCATATTTTACGTCTATTAATCAACTTCGAAAGCTCTGCCAGTTCTATTTTGTCTGTTGTACTGGACACTTTCATGATTTGACGCTTCCTAATTAGATTCTTCGTTTCCTGGGAAAGCTTGCCAGTGTCCTGTTTAACTACCCTGCCTCCAACTTACCCTGCCTCCCTGCCTCCAAACAAAAGCAGAAGATTGTCGGCAGCAAAGCTTCACGCAAAGGCTTCAGTGGACCACAGCAGGGTCGGTTTCCGGAAATTAAAGAGCTGCTCGGCGAGTATGTGCTTGAGCAGCGAGCGGCACAGCGGACCGTGACGACAGAACTGCTCCAAGTGCGGGCTATGCAATTAGCCTTAGAAAAAGGTCTAATGCGGAGCCAGTTCAAAGCGAGCAGGTGCTGGCTAACTAACTTTATGAAGAGGAAAGGCTTTTCCCTCCGAAGGGGAACGGGCATATTTTCGAAAAGTTTTGCGGAGGAGTACGATGAAAAGCTTCACAGTTTTCAGAGGTTCGTCCTAAACTTGCGGCACAACAACGGCTACCTGCTTGGGCAAATAGAGAATGCCGATCATACGCCTCTCTACTTCGACATGCCTGGCACCACAACCGTCGAGAAGGGGGCGAAGCAAGTTCCCGTGCTGACATCGGTCCACGGTGAAAGTACAGTGACAGCAATGCTCTGTTACACGTCAAATGGGCACAAGGTTTGCCCGTATCTCATATTTAAATGGAAGACGCTCCCGAAAAGAGCAGTTTTTTCGAGTGGTGTGATCGTGCGGGCTAGCGAAAAAAATGGGTGCGTGTTGCAATCTGTCTTACGTTTTTTGTTTTCGTCGTGAAAATCGGGTGCGCGTTACGATTGAGGGCGCAGTAGAATCGAGTAAATAGGGTATGTGGTGAAAGAAATTTGAAGGAATGCTATCGTGAGAACTACGAAACTTCGGAGCCAGTGTCTCGTGCAGCTTATGCCACGGGCCTCGGCGAACGAGCACCCTGCCGTTTTAATTGAACTCG